CACATGCAGTGACCTTGTAAATAAATAAAATTTGGATATTCTTTTTGCAAGCACCCACTACACAAGTCTCATATCTATGGTAAATCCCAGAATTTTATGCCAGTACATGATTGTTATTTCACAAGGTAGATAGTTGATTTTTAAAGTAGCATATTAACACAGAATCAGATTTGAGAATGTAAGTTAAACTAGGCAAAGGAGGACAGACACTGACCTAATGGTTGACTGATGCATAGCCGATCAACCAATGAGAAAAAATGAGCTTGAACCAAGCTCTGCATGTCTCAAAAGATCCGATGCCACATCAAAGTAACCAGGATTTGAACCAGTGTATTTGTCAGCCTAGAATCAAGCAGCTGCAGCCTCTTCTTTGTCCTCTGGAGGGTGTGATACTTTTGTTCTCATTGGAACCCATGCCCAAACCGATCAGTTGCTCACCCAGCACATACACAATTGACTGATCCCAAGCCGCATCCTTTTATCAATATGAAAAGAAAGCAATCCTTTGCCCTTGATATGCCCTATGGGTCATATGGGCATAATTTAATTACTGTGTAGACACATCAAAAGATGAGTAAACAAAGAATTAGCTTTGCTGAGACAATTGTTCAGGGGAATTGGATTTATCCTGGCATTCATGCAGTGAAGCATTTTGTTATTGAAAATACATTACCAAATACCTGAATTGAAAATACATCTTCAATTGACCAAATACCTGTATTTAGTCCAAAATTTTATTTGCTATAAAAAATCAAAAACTACTACCAATGGAATCCAACATGAGAACAGGTTCTCCCATCAAAAACATTTTGATATAATGTTCGACAGAGAAAGTGTTGAAGTTCTCCCAAATTTCTATCCAGCGAGAAACCTCAGGGGTAGAAATAAACCAAGGATGGACCTTGAAACTCAGGAGTGAAACCTTTGGAAGAATATAACCCTGGACCAGGCAACGCATAGGAATCTCCACTTAACATGGATCTCAAGAGTTTTTTTTTTGGTAAAAAAGGTAGTTAGGGGCGACCAAGCGTAGCAACCCATCTATGTTACCTTGAAGTTCACATCTGTTATAGAATGTTCGATTTGAACTATAGTTATTGACTTGAAGTGGCCGAGCTCATCACTACAAAACTACCGAGGTAAGCTAAACATTTAATTCTTCCAACAATATCTAATTCAGAGGGATATTTACATGCTTGTAAGTTTTTGCCGCTTTCCTTTTCAGTGGTGGTTCAAAAACTGAAAAGTATACGATGAGGTGTTGGGCTTATTACAGTTTCCTTGAAGACTTTTTATGGGATTTGATCCTTCCAATTTTAATATTTGTCAATTTGGTTTAAATTTAATTATTCTTAGATAAATTTATTAGTTCTCTATGTAAATTCACATGGATGCCCAGTAAAAGCTAATAGATTCAAGGGTGAATGATTGAATTTAATCAGAATTGAACAAACTCAGAATCGAGAGAATCTAAATCTCGCTTAATGTTTGTCAGCTCTGATCTCCCTTTCTTTAAGGTTTCAATCAGAGTTCCATGAAATAGCCAAGAAATGATCCAGTACAGTGGAGTAGCCATTGACAAATCATCTCGGACCCATTAAATGGTGATGTCCAGAACATCAATTCTTTGCTTAAATATGCAAATCTTAGCCTTATGGCATTATGTTAGAACCACGACAAACACAATGAAGCTTCACAACTACATAAAACTAAAAACGAAGCTTTCTTTATTAAACAATCAACTAGAGCAACAAAAAAACAAAAGGCAATAGCTTTTGGGGGTAAGTACTGGATACGCAATTCTCTGAAATTGAGTCGAACTCAAGCCGAACACAATCACACTGTAAGAATTGTATGACAAAGATTTGATCATATTACCCATGTTAATTTGTGGTCTTGTTACAAGGCACGGGTAGTACGGGGCAATACAACAAGATTTGATCTTAAGATTCTCACCGTATTAGTATGTTGAGTGTCGAGCTGACATATACATGTATTACCACATCTATAATCTGATTGGAATCCAAAAAATGTTTCTTAAAAATGCACTCCAAATTAAAATTTCGACAATTGTTGTCACATAGGAAGAATATTTGTGTGCTCAAAAGGGAGAGGAAATAGGGGGCTTGGGACCCCACCAACCTTTGTCTTAACACAAAGGGACTCTTACTGTAATCCCATCCTTCAAACCACAACCAGCAAAATTGCCTCTAGTGCACATTAAACAACCTTTTTTTTTTCTTTTTCAGAATAATTGGAGGGACTTCTTGACCAGACAATCTTCGAATGCATGCGACACTCATAAAATCATACACATTGATTAATAAACTGCACGAGGTGAATCTTGTACAATAGTTGAAATAACGACATTAGGATGAATAGGGTGAGATTCCTGTAACAAGGAACGAGGTTAGAAGAGGGTCGAAAGTGTGTCTGGCATGTCCCCTCTAATGCCCAAGTCGGTTAATGTGTAAAATTGAGGGTTACACTTGCGTATTTAAAACCCAATTTTTTGATTTATTTATTCCTCAAGAGGTGATGGCATGATAGTTCGTAAGTCACATCAAATTATATGTCGTACACATGATCATTGGTTACTATCTCCCTCAGGCCACACATTTACTAAACCCAAGCGAGGCCAGCCGGCGGTCACTTGGGGTCGGGCGCCATAATGGTTATCCTACTCAGGGGACTGAGCATTAATGAGTCTTGTCTGAATTTTTAATGGCCTTTGTTAGGCATTTAATGAGTCATGCCGAACATATAAGAGATGCGCATCAGTCATTTTTAAGAAAAGATTAATCGAACTACAAAACACTCTTGACGATTAACCACACAAAGTTAATTTGGCAAGGACAAGTGCGTTCATCTAACGTTGCAACATCCTCTGTTCGTGGCCGCCTGCCTCCAAATCATTCACTCTCACCTCGTTGCCTTAAATCTGAAATTGGGTTTAAGGTATTTGTGTTGTGATCCTCTTGCATTTCCCTCGCTTAACAGGTAATTCATCACTCAGTCACTGTGTGAGTGGTGTGTGGGAGGGGGGGGGGGGGGTATATATATGGTATAGTGATTGTTTTGTGTTCTATGATTGTTGTTGTAGGTGCCATTTTCTTGTTAATTATTCTGTGAATTTAGAGCTTATTGAAATGGGTTAATTACAAAATGCTCCATCCAAGTTTGGGTAATGTTGTAATTAACTCTCTTCGGTTTCAATTTTGATAATTTTCCCCCTTAAAGTTTTTTAGAACTAAATTAATTGACCGAGTGGGGGAAAAATTTAAACTTCTTAAAATGCCCTCAACATCTAATTTTATTTTCTATAGAGTATCCATCTCCATCCTAGCTTCAGCAAATGAACCCAAAACAATTCCCCAACTCCGGCAATGTTCTCTACCCAATTTCTCAACTCTGGCCATGACCCCCAACCCTCTTCCCTTGCTCTAGTGTTGCCCCACCTCCCTTCCATGACCCATCCCAACTCCTATCGTCCCTCACTCCCATACCTAACACTAATAGTACCCTGAATTGGATTTTTTGGCACCGGACCAGTCCATGTCAACAAGAATAATGCCTTTAGTGGGTTTTTTTTGGCATTCTAGCAAAGGTTTCAACGTGTGTATATGACAACTCAACTAATCATTCTCTGTTATCTGTCATATCAGTGAATTCACGTTTAATTGTGATTATTGTTCGAGCTTGGGGTCAAACGTTCCTCCAAGAGTTTCACAAACACCAAAGAAATCTAAATGAGTTCGATTTAGTCTTCTTGAGTACCGTATATTTTCGGTGTTTTCTGTTCTCTATCTACATATCATTTGACGATAAGAATACCCATTTATGTCACATCATAAATTACGTACATTGAGTAAACTAAGACTTTAAAGAAATTGAACTTGAATTTTTTTAAATACTGACCCGTGAACACTTTCTGTCCAAGCTTTTTGATGGGATAAACAATTTTTATTATCAATCAAAAGGACAGTGTGAAACCATGGTACCGGAGATTGGTCAAGAAATCGTTGTCTTATTTCCTACATACAAACTGAGCCGTTGGATTGGTGTAGTCTACATGGGTCATGGTTATGATTTAGTCCTTAGAAAATGTAATTACTAGTAAGCAACTTGTTAATTAAATAGAAAAATATAGTCTTGTATACGTATAGTACAATTTACCAAATCCTCTTGTCATAAGCTAACCTAATTTGAGCCAATTGGGTGACTTTGGCTTTGAATTATAATTAACCCCACCATGATGCGTCTACGTAAAGGACCACACTTCCAGCTGACAATCGACGCACTTGACTTGAATTGACCATTGTGCCCTTCATAAATTAGCCATCTTGAGAGATGGAGGACAAGATGGTCACTTCACTTTTGAATTTGTGTCTTTTTGTTTTTTCATTCTAATATAAAACCTTCACAACCGAGATATGTTCGAACTTGTGGCTCCTATGTAAACTTACAATGCACACAATCACGAACAAATTCGCTCAGTGGTTTTTTTTTTTTTTTTGTGACCCTTAAATTAAAAATGTCAATTATATATATAGTTTTGCATCGATTTTTTTTTTTAGTATCATACTTTTATTTACCATATTTGTGATTATTTTTATTATATTTGTGGGTACTTTTATTTACCTAAAAAATAGTAGAAATAATTATCATAATAATAATAAAAATATCTACAAATATGATAAATTACCCACAAAAACAATAATTTTTTTGTACGTAAGAAAAATAGTAAAAATAGTTATTACAAAAGTAATAAAAACAACCACAACAGTAATAAACATACTCATAAAAGTGATAAATTAATTACAAAAGTGATTAATTTTTTGGTTGTAAAATGATTTATAAAAATTATAAAAATACTCTCAAATTTTATATTTCATCGTCGGATTATTGTTAGGATAAAATTCAAAATCATTCTTGTTTTATTATATATATATATATATATAAAACCTTGACAGCTCAAACCAGCATAACTTTTAAGCCAAAACTCAGCCCTGTCCTACCGATGTAAACTCAAGAGTCAATACAAACAGACCTTATAGAAAGAAGATTTAGGTTTACGAGCTACATCCACCCGGAAACATGGATGGAAAGACATCTGCAGAAACTGAAGGAAACATTCGTTTGCAGATCGAGCTCGACGCGAAGATCGGAGACACCAGTAGTGATGGTCCAAGTCCGACCAGTTTTGAACCCCAAAGTAGCATTACCAAAAACAGTAGCGACACCAGTTCTGTTTCTCCTCCTAGATCACCGGCAGAGCGAGCACCGGAACAGAAACTGACCCTCTTCGCTCTCCGGCTTGCAGTGCTGGAGAAAGCAGCCACTGGGCTAGGAACTCTCGGGTTCATCTGGGCAACAGTTGTTCTTCTTGGTGGATTTGCCATTACTCTTGATAAAACAGACTTTTGGTTCATAACCATAATTCTGTTGATCGAAGGGGCACGAATTTTCAGCCGTAGCCATGAGCTTGAATGGCAACACCAAGCCACATGGTCAATCACTGATGTTGGAATCAGCAGTTTCAGGGCAATAATGTCCAGCTCCCACTTCATCATCAAAGCTGTGAAGGGTATATTCAGGCCTATTACTGTAGTCAGGAAGCCGACTGGAGACAGCAGGGATATCACAGAAAGTAGGCACCAGGCAAGCCGGAGAGAGAAGAAGATGCCAAGTAGAACATGGGCGATTTCAGATGTTCCTCTTCTGCCATATGCTCAATGGTTTTTCCTCTCGAAAAATGTTAGCAGGCTTCTGTACTGGCTCCAACTTGCCTCTGCAACAGCCTGTGTGGTTCTTTCTCTGATGAAGCTTATTAGAAGAAACTATGGTGAAATTGCAAAAGAAGAGAAAGACAAGAAGAATAGGAATAATGCTTTGAATATTTTCTACGCCTTGGCCTTGGCGGAAGCTCTGGTGTTTCTCTTGGAGAAAGCTTACTGGGAATGGAAGGTCATCTATTGTAAATTGCTGGATGAGGTGAACAAGGAGTGTGAGTTGGGACCTACAGGGGTGATCTCAATCAAAAGGTTTTTCTATGATGCCTATTCGAGATGTGTCAATGGAAGCATTTTTGATGGCCTAAAAATGGATATGGTTTCATTTGCCATGGACCTCTTGAACTCGAATTCTCCTGACGAACAGCTCATTGGAGTTCGAATTCTCCGACAATTCTCGATGAGCCACCGATTTTCTGGTGACACGCTGCAAAATATTGGGATAACTTTATCGGTGATAGAAAGGTTAGTAGAAATGCTGAATTGGAAAGATCCACAGGAAGAAGAGATCAGGCACTCTGCTGCAGATATCTTGTCAAAATTAGCTGGAAAAAAGCAAAACTCCCTTCGGGTTGCTGGTATAACAGGTGCAATGGAATCGATATCTTCGTTGCTCCACGTCCACAGGAGCTCCGGTGGAGCAGCTGATGAAATATCTGAAAAGAAAATCATCTTTGACAATGAACATTATGGTTTCTGGACATTCAATCAGCTGGGCCTTCTCATCTTAAAGAAACTTGCCCGTGACCATGACAACTGTGGAAAGATTGGAAACACAAGAGACCTATTACCAAAAATTATCGATTTCACACAAGCAGGAGAGAGGTTATTGAAGGATGAAACTGTTACATCATCTCAAATTTTGACAGTGAAGAGGTCTCTGCAACTGGTGAAGATGCTGGCAAGCGCAACAGGAGCCACCGGTAAACAGCTTCGGAAGGAGATTTCCGAGATAGTTTTTACCATTAGCAACATCAGAGACATTTTACAGTATGGAGAGAAGCATCCAATGCTACAAAAATTGGGCATAGAAATTTTAACAAGTCTGGCTTTGGAAGAGGATGCAACAGAGATGATTGGTCGCACAGGTGGTGTTCTGAAAGAATTGTTCAACATTTTCTTTAAAGAGGGCATGCCTGAAAATCAGAATCATGTAAGACTTGCATCTGGAGAAGCAATAGCGATGCTGGCATCAGAAAGCAAGAGTAATTGTTATCGCATTTTGAAACTGAAAGTGACTGAGAAGCTGGTTGAAGCATTGGGAATTCCATTGCTTCGCATAAATGCAGCAAAGATTATGAGAAATTTGTGCGCCTACAGTGGAGAAGATTGTTTTGAACTGTTCCAGGGCTTCACCACCGCAGTACCAACTGTAAGTTGTGATTTGCAATTAAAACTTTGCATTTTCTTATATATAGTAGAAAAGTGATCTTGATTTCCTCTCTAGCAGGTGCTTAAAGAAATCATTACAGCAGAAGGCAAATTGCAGGAAGTGATGATCGGACTAGCAGCACGTGCTTTTAAATTTATGACATCTCAGGAATCAGGGATCATGTTCAAGGGAGCTGGAATTCAAGAGGTAGAATTAGCTAGGGCCATAGTCCAGATTCTGAAGAAACATCAGTACCCACATATCAAGATTCCAAGAATAAGGAGGTTTGCAATAGAGTTGGCAATTTGGATGATGAGAGATAAGGAAACAAATGTTCAATTTTTCAAAGATCTGGGAATGGAGAAGGAACTGGAGTACGTCACAGAAACCACATCAGAGCTTGAAAGCTTCAATATTTTCTCTGGCACTGTCGGTCTGAGTCGGGACAGTACAACAATCCATTCTCTAGTTGAAACTGCAATGAAGTTACTTGCTGTATAGACTTCACAGAACCAGTATTCTATGTTGATTCACAAGTGCACATGCAGAGACATTGTAAATAAACAAAATTTGGATATTCATTTTGCAAGCACCCACTAGGCAAACTCTCATATCTATGGTAAAGCTCAGAATTTTATGCCAGTACATGATTGTTATTTCACAAGGTAGATTGTTGTTTTTTAAAGTAGCATTTTAACACACAATCAAACTTGAGAACGTAAGTTAAACTAGGCAAAAGAGGACAGACACTGACCTAATGGTTGACTGATACATAGCCAATCAGCCAATGAGAAAAATAAGCTTGAACCAAGCTCTGGATGTCTCACCAATCTTGGATCTGCTTAAGCATGAACATCAGTGCTCTCAAAAGGTCTGATGCCACATCAAAGCAACCAGGATTTGAACTAGTGTATTGGCCAGCCTAGAATCAAGCAGCTGCAGCCTCTTCTTTCTCCTCTGGAGGGTGTAGCGTCACTTTGTTCCCATAGGAAGCCATGCCCAAACCGATTGGTTGTTCACCCACGACATACACAACTGACTGATCCCAAGCCATATCCCTTTATCAATACGAAAAGAAAGCAATCCATTGTCCTTAATTTGAAGAACGCTTGATATGCCTATGGGCCATATAGGCATAATTGAACAACTGTCTAGATACAGCAAAAGATAAGTAATCATGGATTCATCCTGAAGTCATGCAGTAAAGCAATTTGTTATTGAAAATGCATTACCAAATACCTGAATTGAAAATACATCTTCAATTGGCATTAAGAGAGGTTTGTGGAGCGGGCAGACAGGGTCAGTTATGCATTCCATTGCTTCCATTAGCATAAGAGAGCCTATTTTGCCAAGTTTTTCATTGTTCCATGTAAAGCAAAAAAAAAAATGAACCTCAAATTCTTTGGTTTCCATCCCCAGAAAATTTGAAGAGGCAACCAACTCTGCAACAATTGTTCTTCTGCATATCCAAATTAAGCAAATTAACCTTTTCCCTTAGGAAACCAGCAACAGTACTAAAATCTGATAGACAGCAAGCACCAACAGCATCTATAAGACTTACATGTTTAGGCAACTATGCCACGAAATTCCGTCTCAACAAATCAAGTAGGTCTGCGTCATCAACAGCATCACCTTCATGGAGAAAGCAGGATATGTTCATGTCTGTGGTATGGTCTATCTGGAGCAGATACCACCAGGACGCCGCCATCATTTGTCTCCAGATACCATGTTCTGCAGTTTAATCGCATCAGTTAGGTACTCAAGTCAACTTGACTAAGTCTCGTCAATGTTCCAACATTTTTGGGATCGACTACATGAATACTCTTTGGCCATTGTGTTCTATGTGAATATACTTTAGATTCATGTTCATGTTTTGTAAAATTTAGAAAAAAAAAAATTATTATTATTATTATTAAAAATCTTAATTAAAGGGATAAAATAATGATTAATTGTAAAAATAAGGATTAAAAACATAAAATTTTAAACTATAAATTTATACTATCTATATATATATATATATATAAGTGTGGAAGACTTTAGTCTTCCACTTTTTCTTCCTCCAGCCGGCTGCCGAGTGAGTGAGAGAGTGAAAAGAGTTTTTTTTTATTTTTTTTATTTTTCTCCTTCTTCTTCTTCAGATCTATGAAGATTGAACCGTTTAATTATTTCGGGGCAAGAATTAAAGTTACTCTACTCAGCGAGAACTACGCAACCATACCAAATATCATATTTTTCTCTGAAAGAATATCAAAGACGATAATCTAGACCTAAAGTTTGGGAAGTTAAATTGGGCTTCTTCGAAGATCCAGTACGTGGGCCCACGATACGAGAGGTAGGGTTTTTCCTATTTAAATTTAATTTTAACCAAAAATATGACATATGAAAATGGGTAGAGTATGGACGTATATCACATGTTAGGTCTTGACTAGTGTAACTAGTGAGTTGAATATATGATTTATAATGAACTTTGTGATTAGAAAAAAAATCTTATATGATTAACTTGGTGTAAGTTAATGTTAGTGGTTTAAAGCATGTTAATTGTACATTAGCATTATTTTATGTTTTAAATGACATATCCAGTTTAATAAAATTATTAGCTTGTTGTGTGATTATGGAATAATATGTATGTTAAATGATTATTTAGCATATAATTATTGTGGTTGACTTGTGCTTATATTTATAGAATTGATAAACATGTTGCCATGTTGAAAATGTCATTATATTGCATTTTTTAAGTAAATAGTACTAAAGGCAATTACACATTGAAATGTCATTATGTATGAGTTACATTACATTCATGGACATTAACATGAGTGAGAGTGTGTGCATGAGATAAAATCAATCACCACATAGTTGGTTGATTATGGGCTCGAAAAAGTCTTACCAAGGTTCAGCTGAGTCACACGAAAAATTAAATGGATAAACGTGTCGAGAATAGTAAGAAGGGCTAGATTCTTCCTCGGGTGCAAGACCCGCTAACTTGGTTTATACATTTTTCGGCGGTGAAATTTCAGAAAAGTGTAACGGTCAAAACGAAGCTGCAGGTGAGATGTCCTGAGAATCCGTTGATGGTTGGTGTCCCATTAGTGTAATATCATAAATCATCTCCCCACAAAGACATAAGAAAATAAATTAATTAGTCATTAAGTGTACATAACACTAATGACGGGGCTTGGAATGTCTGGATACATACGCATGACATTGCATGTGTTGTAGGAGCTTAGGATGGGGCTCGGTGTTGGTATTGTGTTCATGAGTCTCATCTCATGGCATGACATGATTTATGACATTTGTTCATAATAAACATATTTAAATGATTGCATGAAATGATTGTTATATGTGGCATTTCATATGGATTTAGGTTGAGAGGTATTCTCAATAGGAGTTATCCTATTGAGCGTTGACTCACCCTTTATGAGAATATTTTTTAGGTATTGCACAAGCGTCTACCGAAGGCTAGGCCATGGGCCCGCTTTGATGACAGAGCTGGTCTGTGACTCTTCTTTTGACATCGTAATCCCTTGTTTATATTTACTTTTGGTCTTGTGTAATTTTTGTAACAAAAAACTTGTTTATATTTAAAAGGCATGTATAAGGAACTCTTTTGAGACATTTATTCTTTTATGAATGAATGTACGTAATGATAATGATTATAGTAGTATCTGATACTATGCTAAGGAGTAGGGATGAATGGGCCTGGTGTAGTCAATATTATATGATTGCACATGTTGCGTTTTGGGTAGAGCTCCCCGTATAAAGGAGACTCTGTCCAAATTTCGTTAAGTTATGGATCTCGATAAATGGGGCATAACGACATGGTAACGAATTATATAATATCCATGGGTATTTTCATGGGTTGATGGATGATCAACCGGGTTATTACAGACACCCGAATTTTGGGGCGTCACATGTTTAGTTTGACGAGTTTTACGTTAGCTGTCAGTTACCTAATACAACCCTCCTATGAACTTTGGACCGACTGTGCACAAGAGTACGTAGGTGGAGTTAATCATATCAGTTAGGTAAATGAAATAAAAGAACCTTCGAAAAATATGATATTCAGTAATAATAACCGCAAGCACAGAGACTAGAGAACACCTAAAATGGACTACACGATGATTCCAATTATATAAAGAAAACTCAACTAAACCAAGACCTATACAAACAAACAAAGATACTTAACACCAGCTTAGACATGATATCTAGCACAAAAGAACTCTTTAGAATAGTTAAATTAAGCTCATTTTGTGTGCAGTTGTTCATTTTTTCTTCTAATAAACCCACAATCAAAATCACTCTAAAATTTTATTTCTTTCCTTTCCCTTCATTTCTTAGCAACCAAACAGACCCAAAAGTGAGAATAAACATTCATTCCAAGCAATAAGTTCATACAAGCCACAAATTACTCATAATGCATAACAAATGGGATAAATTAACCAAAAAAAACCTATCGAACAAAAAATACAGAATTTACAAAATCATAAATTGAAACCATAATCCTGGAAGTTCAAATCTAAACAGTTGATGATGTGTTTGATCGGAAACTTACGTTGGAATGAAAGTGGACATGGATCGCCACCAGCGAGCGAAGTCCATGGTTTTTGCATTTTTGTAATGTGAGTCAAAAATCAGGCAATGATTCGAATTGTGTAGTTCTCGACAGAAGTAGTTGGTCGGAGATATGATCGATGACAAATGCTTTGAACTACGAGCTCCGTTACACAAAGTTTTTTGTAAACTGTTATGCCTCGATTTTTGTAAAAATACACGAATTAAATATTTTATGAATTAAATCAATAAAATTAATACATTGAGAATTAAACTGATAAAAAAGATATACCTTCAATATCAAAAGTGTTATTAACCCCTCATTTATACACAATTAGGATAACTGATGTCTGGCGATACAACGTAAACCAGACATATGACATAAATAAATCAAGTATAAATAAAGTTATTAATTATATACAATTTATATATGACATAAACATAATATGATATAATTTGTTAGACATAAATTAATAAATAAATCAAGTATGAATAAAATATTTTTTGATACAAACTTGTAAAAATTTAACACAAATTTATCTCACTCAACATAATTCATGATTGACAAATATGCGTCTCTCGTAAAATGAGGAGGGTTTAATCGCCCCCGCAAAGGGTTTTAGCAGTGATATACAAATCACAATGGCCACAATTTCATATCACTTAGTTGAACCAATTTGATCGTCTTTCCATGACAAACCACTTTGTGTTAAAAAGGTGCATTTCAATGATATACTAGAAGAGTGGAGAAAATTTTTCTTGATTTTTGTGACGGGTAAAAATCACGTTGAACAAAGAGTGTTTCACTTCTTTATTCGTTCTTTCTCATTCATTCACTTCAAGACTAGATTGTGAATGGCACGTAACATCATCTTCAAACCACCTCTTACCATTCGGTATAACCAACTCAAATCATTAAGTTGGCTTCCATATTCTCCATTGTTTGTTTCAGTTGGAAGTATAAAGTCATTGCAATATAAATAACAGGTAACAGAACCACCTCCACAAAAATATACACATTGACAGCCTTTGCTATTGGTTTTTTTTTCCTTTCCTTTAAGGGTTAGCTATTTCTACAACACTAACCTTTCTGCCAATTTTTTCAATACAAAACAATACCCCTCTCAAATTGCCTAAACTTTGAAGCAAAATCATCTATTCCGAAAGAAGTTAAGATCCCAACAACGAAACAAGCCATCCACGATACTGCTCATAGGGTTCTTTTGGCTTTTGTGCGATTGTCAATGTCAAAATCAGATGAGCTTTGGTTGCAAACTGAAGTAATCACTATGAATTGGAGCCCCGGCAGTTCCAGATTCTCTAGTGGATGGAGCAGTGTTTGAGGGAGGTTCCCTCGATGATATGCTGAACTCAAGAGGCAGATTGAGGTGGGTGTTGGGACACCAAATCATGGCCGTTGATTGCCAAGGTTGGGGAGGAGGTGGATTCTGTCTTCAAGGGCAAATGTTCCTTGGTAGGGGAAGAATCCTTTGTGTCATCTTTATGTGAAGGCTCGGGGGGATCAGTGCCAATAGTGGATTGTGATTCATCAATATGAGGGTGCCCCATCTCCAAGTCTTTTAGTGATTCCATCACTGCTTCCAAGAGCATCTGAATTATTTTGAAAAATCAGAGGTCAAGACGAAGAATTGTTACATCATATGTTTGAGATAATTTGAATACGGGGAATACATCCCATGATGCACATAAACAACCAATATGACTCACCCTTTCCTCTTCCTCCTCATTGCATGGGACATCTGCCAAGTTATCAAGTGTGTACTCCACATAATCATCGTCATCTAATGATGTAGGAACATGAGGGCCGTGAGGGTGACCATTTGAGAGTTCAAAGCTAATCATTTTGGAAGATGATGGGATATGCTCAGCCCCAGTTTCTTCTTCCTGTGAAATAGCAGGAAATTGTGTCAGTAAAATTCCGTTTAAGGCTCCTCTATGGCTAGCCAGAGTGAACGCAATTGAGTATGCAAGTAAGGAGATACCTGGGCCTCAGTTTGCTCATCTTTAGATGTAACATTAGAAGGGACCTGAACAATTCCAACGAGCCAACAGCCATCAAAATACCATATAAATATGAAGTTTATACAATGCATAAAAAACCCCTTACTCGAGAAATTATCCATCTCGAAAAGGAAGGAAAGTGGGGTTGTTGATATTCTTAGATGACACCGACATATACCATGACCTTTACTCATCCACAATATTAGGAGCAGTGTTCCATAGGTTCATATCACATAAATTCTCCCATCTAGTTATGTTTCATTCCCATTGAAGACACTTGCAACAACAGCAACAGCAACAGCAACGCCAATATACTATGTTCAACAATTCTTTTAAAAAATAAAGATGGCATAGGACTTGGGAGTTTCAAATATTTGTGAAGCACTTGAAAAAGACTCCCAGATAGCAAACAACTGACCTCCATTCTACTCATAGGTCTTTTAGAGCGAAGTTGCTTAAGGGCATCTTCGGTGCTACTTGCTGCTGGACCTGCAATTAGTGGCACAATTAAGTTGAGTAGAAAAGCTTTCCAAATGAAGAGCACGATGTGACTTCTCACTTGAAAATTCCAGATAAAAAGCACATGCCTCTGGATGCAGCCAAAATCTCGTCTGCATATCTCAATTCATGGATAGTACTCCAACCACCCTGAAGGTAAAATCATCAACAAGAGATCATTGATTGCAGGTTGAAATCAGGCAAGGAAGCAAGACTTAATGTTGATAATGGAAGTGCATTTTAGTTCAATTTACCTTGCCAAAATAATTATGGGATGGATCAAATAAAGGTTCCCTAATTTCATCCTCTGGAGGTTGTAAAACATTGTTAAAAAAGATGCTAATAGAATCAAAATAGAATTGGGGCCGCGGAGAATTGTGATCGCCTTCAAATTTTATGATATTCTTGTCCCCCTGCAAAAATCAGGTGTTACTATTCGAGCACAGTTCAATATGTTATCAGAAAAAGCAAGAGACCGATGTGAATAACCAGATGATTCATTGCAAATTCCTACTCAATTTAAATTTATTAACAACCATTTCTTATCACCTATATTAGTGACTATGGCACCATCCACAGTTAGAAGAAAGGAAAGATGAGATTACGTCAATTCAAAACCTAATGGTGTCAAAGCAGATACCAAGACATAATTGGGAATGATTAGGCAAGAGATAAACATATCAGTAGCAAGTCAGTTTTGAGATCAATATGATAAAATGCATACCATGCTGCAATTCTCAATTTAATGTCTGTTCTTCACCTTCAGCATCCAACCACGGCGAAAGCAAACAAAGCGTGATCCATTATAGAAGGTGGACATAGCACCCAACTCATACTATTCTAGTACACTGAAGAGCATGGGCTTAAACCCACACTTTTGTATAAACAACGGCAGATTGGGAAATAAGATAGAAATCACATGATAGAGGGAATAAAAATCAAAAACCATGGTAGAATGGTAAAATTTTCCAAAAATGCAGCTCATGTAGGAGAGTTTCTAATATACATCTCAACAGATGAACACTGGTACCGAGAAAGAAGTGACGACATAGACAAAAAGAGTAGCAACTAAGTCAATGATCCACCTTCCCCACGATGAAAGAACCAGTGTCCAACTGTTACTGTTTCTTCATAAAACCCAATTATTCCTTCACCAAAAATAACAATAAAATTGAAAGCAGAGGCACAGTCAGCATGATACAGTTTTCTTTTTTCCCTATTCTGGATTCCGACAGAAGGGTTGAGTATAAAAGGATGGAATATTTGCAATAAATAACATGCATAAACATTGTACAAGTAGAGGTACCATGTCTACTTTTTAACTAGCATTAGCAGAGAAAGTTACCTCATAAGCGTCAAATATACAATCAGAATGATGAGGTTGTATGAAGTCATCATCAACGGCATGCCCAAACAAAACAGGAACGAAGCAGGATTTGGCCACCTAGAATGAAAGAGGTGATAGGATCACTAAGTAGCAATAAACAGCAAAGACACTCCTAGCATTCAACCAGAAAAGTCTGGTACTTCTTTAATGGTGCATCCCATCTAATTTCTTGTATCCACCCTACTCCCATACCTTAGAAAGGTCAAATCCTCCATGAAAACAAGACAAAGACAATAACATATCCTAGTGCATTTGTATGATTTATCAAGTGTGAATTAATCACATTCTTAATATATCACAACCATATGTTGTAGTTAATTAGTGTCAGAAGCACCCTGAAAACATCCAACAATATTTCTCATTTATCCATTAAACTAATCTCACATGTCATCGTATCCAACATCATTGGAACATGTAAAACTATCTTACAGTTAATGGCAAGTTTCACAAACTAAAAGGTGTAAAATACCAACCACAAATTAACATGGGCAAGCAAAATAATAATATTCTGCCCCAAGGAAGCACTAATGAGCTTTTAATCTGACAGGTTTCAAGCAGGTGACAAACTGCTTAAAGAAGGAATATCAGGCAGAGATACCGACAGTCTATAAGGAAGAAATAAACTCGGCAGAAATTATTCGAAGATGTAAGTATCAGATAACAGCATATGTCTTGTAAATTAGTACAAAGACTCTAGATGTAATTAAGTTATTGGCATTTAGATTCATATCCTACATGAATTTTCATATATGTAATCTATCTAATACAAAAAACCATATTTTCCTATTCTTTCTTTTCTTTGTATTGGTTTTCATTTTTCCTTTTAATGTGGTGGCCCAGAGGGTGTTTTTCAGTTTCTGCGTGGCAAAAACTATGAAAAAGGCTTTAGAATAGAGTGAAGAAGTAGTTTTTCAACAGAAATCATCACAATGAAGGCTTAAATTCAGAAACCCTTAGAGATGAAATAACGATTGAGGTAGAGACAATTTATGCAGCATGGCAGAATCAAACCTTGATGGTGTTCAAATCCATTATATCAAATTTTGCCTTCTTCTGAATAGATCTTCGCATGAATTGGATAGCAACCTTCACCTAAATAAGGGAAAAACAAATTTAGAGCATTACGGAGGCAGCCCCAGCACCAAATCTATCACAACCTTCACCACTGGAACATTACTACAAAATTGAGAACTTCTAAGTGAGAGAGACTATAACTTCTACATTAAGCTAAAAAGATAAAAGACCTTTACCATAAGAGTACAACATTTGTACTCACATTATATGCATAAGAATCAAAAATATTGTATGAACTGATATACTTACAGTGAATTTGGGAAGACGTATTTTGTAGGTATCCACAAGTTCCATCATCAAATCTAGTAAATCAGAGAAAGGGCTGTCAAGAACCATTCCTGCGATTGAAGGATCCTCAGCTCCATACATTAAACTGGAATGAGGCATATAGTCAATGAATATGAACTTAGGGTATTATAATGTTTGAAAAGCTAAAGCAGAAAAGCTGAAATGCATTGATGTTGCATGATCAATGCATGGGAAAGCACTGCAAAGTAGAGATATAGGCATGTCCACACATAGATACACCCTCATACCTAACCCCCCCCCCCAAAAAAAAAAAAAAAAAAAAAAAAACCTGCTTCCACAGCAGTAAGAAAAATCCAATAAAAAACATAAACAAACATATTTTCATGTCATGCAGGAGTTAAAACAAGCAATCTCAGTACGATTAAGGGAGGTAATTAATTTCACGAAAAAAATCATGCATCTGTTACACACTGTCAATTACATTTCTGCAACACTGATACAGTCGTCTTACCATTATTTGAAAACATGCTCAATAATAGGAGAAATGTATAATTGAAAAACCTTCTAGAATATAGCTTCAATGTGCACAGGCTATCATCTTTCAACATAGCCGTCTAACAAATGGAACTTTATGACACAATGGATAACTTTCAGGTAACCAATCTATGCTGTTAAAAAAAAAAAGGTAACCAATCTATAACCGTGTTAAGACCTCCAAAAAAAAAAGGAATTCACTAAAGTTGCTCGCTCTGTATTTTAGGTGCTTTATCCCATCCTCCAATCTGAGTTGCTTTTAAGGCCTGAATGTGGCTCTCTTGGCCTCCCTGCTCTTTTGCCCTAAAAGTTTATCTGATGCTTTCTCTAAAACAACACAACTAGATTTTCTTCTCCCACTTCTCTTTTGGTTTCCCCTGCCAACCTCTCAAGCTAATAAACACCTTGCATCAATGAACAGTGAGACTTAAATCAGAAATACTCTGAATTCATGTAAAGACAAGGAGTGCTGTTTGATGTTGTTGCTCAAGCCAGACAAACATGCCACTGCTCTTGCCAGAAGAGTAGCAGCAATTAGGTCAGATTTCTGCAGTTATATTAGACATGTAAATTCTAGGCAACCATTCATGCAGAGAATTAAAGACCACTATGGTTATTGGACTTAGGATTTTCAGGAATGCCAGATTGCATTCCACTATGATTAGAATCAAACATTTCATCGCATATAAATCAATAGTGGATAGTCACTCCGACCATATCATATACACAGTATAACCCATCCTGCTTTTCCTACTTTTGGAAAACTTTCAGGCTCCAGCCATTAAGGAGATGAAAAGCTACATGAAAGCCAACCATCAACACCCCCAAGCAGACACCTTAACTGATTGTTTTGTCGTTGTTAGGTCCAAAAATTCTGATTTTCGAACAGGAAAAGATAACAAAAGACAGCAAGCCCATGAAGAAAACCTAGTCACAGCGCCCATTGAACGACCCCACAACCCAATGGTAGAAACATTTCCATCTGCCCGCAAGTAATCAACCACAGCTCTCAGATCATCCTTCTGTAAAAACAACAACAATTGTCAAGGATCACATGTATCGGTCATGTATGAAAAAAGATACTGATGAAATATGGCATATTTCTATGATGAGGGTGATAAGGGTTACCCCAAAAATAGCAGTTCTGTTCTTCTACTATTGTGTTTGTCTTAAACAAAATTTACTGATTTGTTGAAGATTATATTGCAGCAAAACAAGTACTTTGCATAAATCATGTAAGTATTAGTTTCCTCTAATCAAGACATAAAAAAATTACTCAGTCACTTACTTCATTCCAACCCAGAGTGACATGCTCCCCTCCAGAGAGTCCAGATCCAGAGAAATCAAGGGTGAAAACAGTAATGTTAGAAGGCAATAATATTATAGCAGCTTCACTGGCATCTGCCCTGCACCCACTGTCATGATAAGCATAGGTATCACAGGTTCCATGTAAGATGGGGAAAATACTTTTAAGTTTCTAATCCATGGAAGAATGAGCAAGCAACTGAAGGGGTTGGAGAAAGCTACATACACACAGAGTTTAGGAAATATGTGCAGCATATAGATCACAAATATAAATCAGGATATCCTAGTATAATTAAAAAGGATCATTACTAGTCAGTCATGAATATCTCTATCATGACATGACATTAAATGGTCAGTAATGACAAGGAGAACCGCTGGCTGAAAAACTTATAGCAAACATATTAGTTACTAGCATCCTGGGGCCCCACTGGTACCCAAATAAATAACGTCATTTTCAAAACTGCCTACATGGTTATTTGTGTTTTGTTTAAAGGTAAGATACAAGTTTGAATGTGCTATACACAGGGGAACAACAGATTTCTACTCTCTAATGTCACTCAGAATTTCAATAATCAACAGTACAAAGATTGAAATGTCCGCCAAAAGATCTGTATAGTCTGCATCCAAGCGGGCAAGCATGTTTTTATAAGTAAATATATGTTCACTAACCTGTTTCCATGGCAGTATATTACACAGGGTAAAGGTTTTCCTTCAGGTCGGACAATGGGCAGGTAATGGCTACATTGAAGAAGATCTCCCCGAATATTTACAACCTGCTCAATGCGTGAAGACATCTTATTTTAATGCTGGAAATGGATATTTCCAGGTTCAACGATATGCAATATGATGCAGTATGATCCATTGATTGCTTGCTATCCTTTCTACGGATTCTAATGAGTTCACTTCAAGGAAAAACAATGAAGATCAGACAATTGCATCTTGCTATTTTTTTGTATGTCTTTGTTCACATCAATCTTTTCTGCTGAATACATAAACTTTTAAGATGTTGTTAATTGAGTACGACAGGTCCACCACCTTGATAAGCAGAGACCAGCAATGAGACAAAAAATGGATAATGGCATTTAAGTAAACGTATATAGACTTCTATATTGCAAAAGACAGCTACTAACACAATCTACTACAATTAATTAAGAACTTAAGTGCTTTCATAATGTATTATGTACATACTTCTATATCTAAAAAAGTTGAGCATCCCTAAAGATAAGTATCCAGGACTCATTTTTCACCAAAATAATCATATATTGTGACAAGGATTGAAATCTTAGAGTAGTTAGATTCAATAATATCTTCACAATTTTTGGGTCTAACTATTAGGCCAGAGAACATATATTCATAATTATTTTACAGGATTTGAATTCCATTTACACTTGCTTCCCTAAGATCTATGCTCATCTCCACATATATTAACTGGTGCAAACTCTTTGATTTTGATTTAGATGGAATTCTTGTTTGTTTTCCCTCTTTTACCATAATTTTTTGATTTATCATTGGCATGATGAATTATCAGCTGCTTAGTACCTGAGTACTGGCTAGGAGTCAAACAAAGCATATTTAAAGTAATTTAAAGCTTAGGAAGTCAAATAACAGAGAAAAGTAAGTTCTCTTAAATGTAAGATTTATGACTTACCTCCAAATCCTTCCTTTGAAACCATTTCCCTTGAAGCATGACTTGTTGATCTAATAAATCATTTTTCGGGTTGTATTCAGCTCTGCAACCCAACAAAAGATATTGCCATTATCTCTTATATAAACTTCAATTGTAGGTAGACAAAAGTTAATAGGTTAACTTGTGATCTACATTTGTAACCAACATCAAATTTAAGTGCTAGAAACTATCTTCCTTGAGAGGAATCCACATCTATAAATGCATGTCTGTTTGTGAACACGGGGACCATGTTGACAGTAACCAACATCAATGCATATCTCGACAGCAGATATGCAGAGTAATTAGCAATGAGTATCTTTTCTGCAATGTATTTCAACTATCAATCCATGGAGGCTCCCGAGAAAGCTATTTCAGCTGCTGGGCAGTTAAGGGCAATTCATATGTCCCTCATCAATCTACCCCATCCCCACGGAAGGGTGGTGGTTTGCGATCCCATTTCAGCTATCTGAACAAAAACCAGTCAACTTGACAAAGAACATCCTAAAGCTATATGGCTTGACAAGAACATAAAGACCACATGCATATATCAATTCCTAGTTGCCGTAAAAACACTGCAAGAGGCATTCCTCTAGAAATTCTTGACAGTTGAATTAAACAGTTTCATCATGTTGCTCAAAATTACATTCCTATATCATATACATATTTACTAATTGTGCAAGAACGGTGTTGAATATAAGGATCCAATGCCCATTAAAGAAAAAGAAGACTTAGTTTATACTCTTACAGTCTGAATCCTAAAATTTGGACATTACTATTTCACCGGAAAAATTCCAGGAGAACCCAAGCAAACCCTATCTAATAAATTCGATATATTATGAAACCATACAAAGCAATAAGCCAACAAATGCCAATCTCATTAAAACTTTTCAATCTTCAGCATCAAACAAAAAATAAAAAGAGAAGCAAATTTGAGAAGTTTATGGAGAACCCTTATAGAATACTCGTTGGATATTAAAAGCTAGATCCAGAATTTCAAACCCCAGTAAATCATTGAATTCGGAAAACCCTAAACAACAACAAAAACCAATATAATTAATGGCCAACCGATACATAACACAACGAACCAAGACGGATCAACCACCACGTGAGTCAATTTCAAATTACCCACCAAGAAAAGTTGATAAAAATCAAAACTTCAAGACAAAAAAGATTAAAACCCAGAGCAGAATACAACATATCCATCTCAAACTTTGTGAAAAAACCCAAACCTTTAACAAAAAGATACAGAAATAAATGAGTATATGTGTGTATTATACAAAGAGTGTACAGTGGAGACATACACCCAGGGAATTGAAAGTGGTGAATGGTACCTGGGCGGTCGTATGATGATGTTAACAAGCTGTTCCATAGAAACTCCAATGTTAAAAGATCTTCTTCTTTCCTCTCTGCCTGCTAAACCAGTTCAGGGTTTCACTTTCACCGATAAGTAATGATCAAACGGTATATCTGTTTTAATAAAGAACTTGAAGAGAGAGAGAGAACAAGTTCTTTGGAGAGGCTTTTACTTTCTGAAAAGAAGAAGGGGAAGAAATAAACCGGCCTTTGTCGTTGGTTGTGGTCTTGTATTGTTAACGTTGGTGGTGGTGTTCTCCATTGCGTTTTTGGCCCCTTCCAACAAAAACAATTACAAAAAACAGTTGCCAACGCTCTCCCTCGGATGAGAATCCTCTGTTAATACCACAGAATCATACGAATTCAAATCCATATCCAATCCTGTAAATAACACGATCTATTAATATAAATAATAAATAAATTAAATTAATATCAAACACAAATAATACATTTAACTAGTATTATAATAATAAAATATTAATTTGTATTATATATTTATCAAGTAGTGATATATTTATTATAAAAAATATATTTTTATTCATTTTTATTATTATAGTTATTAAGATAATTTTTAGTTTATAAAAAAAGAATGAGTATAGTTTGATTAAGTGATAATTATATTTAGACTTAAATCTAAGCCTTAAATTTGTTATTTATGGGTTATTTGGGTTAATACGAGAACACGACAGGAAAATAAATAAGTTAATTCAACTCGACACGATCAGTTAAACATGTTGGGTTAGGACAAACTAATATTCGATACGAACTCAAAATAACACAACAAAATTGAGATTATTTTGTTAAATAAAATGGTATGGTTTTGGTACAAAATGATTATATTTTAATCAAGCCGGACCCTCTCTCTCTCTCTGTGTGGACGTTTCAAGCCGGCTGTATCCAACTATAACTACCACAAGTGCACTGGATCATGAGTAAATTCTATGGTATTTAATTTTTTTTTCTAGATTAAGTTAACTTTTTTAAAAATAAAATTATAATTGTTTGAGATAATTTTATAATCGATTTATGAATGCCCTTGATTAATTATAATTTCACTTTTAAAAAATATAATTTGACCTCAAAAAATAATAACTTTACCTTTATAAGTTGTCACTTATATTATTTTTTAGGTACTTCAAAAAAATATAACTTAATTTAAAAAGTCATAAATTTTGGTATGATATTTAAATCGGTTTCATAGTATTCCTTGGTATTAAAACAATCTAAAACATACATTCTTGCAAAGGAGTCTTAGCTCTTGAAATGTAATTTTTTTGATAGAATCTTCAACTGATCTAATAATTATAATGAATTATGTCCCTAAATTTCTAAATAACATGCTATTATTTATAAGCTTAAGCTATAAGTTTGATACAAGTAATAGAAATCTTAAACCGGTTGGTCCCAAAGGGAAAAGAAAAAAAAGAAGTGAAAAATACACATGCACATACTATTTCAATAATTAAAATTTGCACCAATAACTTTGGAGTTGTGAGTTTGAATCTGAAACTGACACTTTCACTATGATTCGCTTGTTTTATTTGACAGAAAAAATAATCATAACTAGCCTAATCTAAGGATAGGATTTCGTATAGCGCTGAAACTTGATTTTCACCGTTTAAAACTATTGTTACCTGACAAGAAAATTTTAGTCATTTTATATTTAAAAAAATGATTATAAAGATTAGGTTATACTTAGTCTACTACTCCCCAACCTCTCATTATCAATTTGGTTGTTGATTTTTGTTGGGTACAAACAAAAATTAAATAAAGAGGAATTTAAAGGTGAGCAGGGTGCTTGTATAAAAAGGGTGAAATGAGATACACACACTTGTATAGTTATGGTGCATAATGACCTGGAAACCTCTTTGCACTCTTATGGTGCAAAACAATAATCAATTTCATAGTCCTCCTATCATGATGTCGAAATGTTACATTTTGGTATGATATATTTATTTATAATCCAATAAAAAATGTAATACGTGCTAAATTTTTCTTATTTATGTTATTTTTTAATCGATAATTCTTAATCATTTAAATTAAAATCACCGATTATAAATCAAATTTTAATGTGAAACCTCAATCGTATCGTATCGTAACCTTATCAGTCTATGTCTGCAACACAAAGATCAATCATGTTCTCTGATGATAGATGACAAACCACTTTAATTCTAATATTCTAATGCATTTGTAATGGGATTGTTGAACTCATTGTAACATTATTTATCTCTTTACTTTTTGCAATTTCATCTTATATTATGCTCAAAATGGGAAAAAAAGAAGAAACTAAACATTTGATGTGCCTATGACAATAAATTGTGCATTACAAGTTCACATACCTGATCCTTGGTGTAATCCTTGCCTTCTTCTTGTAACTGTTGCGTCTTTTATGTGATTGCCATGGATATCGTTGAGGAGGTTACGACTTCCTTGTCCAAATATAAAACTGTTACGATTTATGCGTGGTGCTTGAGTGAAAGCCAAATGTCATCCTTGCTATTCCTATGGGGGTGCAATTGCTGGGAAGGAGGTGCCAACCTAAACTTTGTTATCCATGATGAGCTGAGTGATCCAAGTTTGGAAGATTCGATCTAAATGTCCGAGCTCAACCTTATGCATATTTTGGGTATCATCAGTAATGAACATTTGAAAGATTGAAAATATGACGACGAGGAGTATTTTTATTGCATTAGGGTTAACCAAGCAAAAAATTCAGAGAGTGCAGAGAGAATAAATCTCTTGAATTTGTTTGTAGTAGAATGTGGATGTAGATCAGCATAGAATTGTCGGAAATTATGAAACGAGGGCAATGTACAGTTGACCCTCTAATAACTAAAATTAAATAACTTAAGTAGTCTTTATTAGTTGATACTTTCTTGAGGAACAAGCCTAAATAAATTTTAGATAAATAATGTTTCTATATTGTATGGTTAGAGTTTTTGTTTATGTTGCGAGCTCTAAGAGACTCAGACACATTCCAGTTAACTGAAAATAAGGGATCTATCTACCTTCTTTGTTTTCTTGTTTTTGCTCTGGTTCAGGTCATGGTTTTGAAGAGAGTGAGTTTCTTGTGAAAATAACATCAATTGTGTACTTGGTCTTCTTTCTAAAGCATCACCATCTCAACTTTTTTCCTTTGTCTAGTTTGGACGTACTCATCAGGATTAAAAGGCTGATAAATTTTGAGTTGTATATACTGTAAGGGCAGACCCATTAATCTTTTTCTGGGGATCCCTTGGTACAGAAGTCTTTTAAGGTGGCAACTACATTCACTTTTTGCTCGTAGTCATCAAAATCGTATGATTCTCAATTTGATTCATACGATTCGGATTGATACAAGCACAAGACGATTCATTTCTTATATGAGAATCGTTTTTAGAGTTGAATCACATTTGAATCATGCGATTCATATGATTCGATTTCTATCGCACAAATCACATGATTCAGTCACTTTTTTTTTTAAATTCAAATTTTGGAAAAACGAAGTCGTTTTATCCGCTAAGCAGTAAAATGACGTCGTTTATTTGTAGAGGAACTCATGCCCTAATAAAAACTCAGTCTCTTTATATATATATATATATATATATATATATATATATATATATATATATATATATATATATATCTCTTGTGTCGTCTAATGCTCGCCTCGCATTGTTTGAAGCTGAAAGTCACGATTAAAACTCTCGTGTCATCTGCTGAAGGTATGCTCCCTACTCCTCTTCTTCTTATTCTTCTCAAGAGTAAGAAAGTCCGAGCATGTCATTTTTTTTTCTTATCCCTTATCATCATATTTTAGAATAAACTTTGATTTTTCCTCCTAATTCTATCATAGATAATTTGTTAGGTTCTAATTTTTTGTTTCAAAATATTAGCCCGTATATTTTCTCCCAATCAATTTTTTTAATTATTCTTTTTTCATTCATGTTTGAAACCTAATCTGTACTAGGTGTCAGTATTTTGATTCTTGAATAGTCATGGTTTTTTAACGAATTTTTTTTCTTTAAGTGGTTGAATTTGAAAATGGTTAAGCAAAAGACGAAAATGAAGCAAAAAGCTAACATCTTTTCAATTGTACCGGGCCAAAAGTAATTATGTTGTTTACGCGTTTGGGGTCAAGATTTAAGTTATTTTCTGGTAAAAAATGAATCATTTATATTTATTTTAAATGAGCAAGTACAAAAGCATTTACATATGAATGAAACAGTATACTATATATCTTAACCTAATTGTATCTTTGCAGTACATATCTTAAGTAGTACATAATTTGCTGATTGTGCCCAATATTATATATATATATATACACACTAGTCATAACTCGTACCTAAAGACACGATAAAATATAAAATTTGAGCTTTCAAAAAATCGATTCAACTATATTAGATTTTTTCAAAATATATTAATTACAAATTAATCAAATATTAAATGATTAAATATATGATATAAATAAATGATGTGATATTTTTAGGGAGAAAATATATAAATGATTAAACATGTCATAGAAATGAGTGATGTGATTTGACGTTTGAGTCTGACAAAGGGATGATGAGTGAGGTAAGTGATTGATGATGGTTTTAAGGAAAAATATATGACTGAGATAAAATTCAAATACACTCTTATTTTATTATATATATATGTTTACTAGCTAATTGTGGTGCACTTCCAGACACTTTATTACTTAGGCATGTATGTACCCTTCTAATGTTTTAAGTTTTCTTTAGCCTAACATAAATTGTACGTCCTGATTCTAGTTTTGTTTACTACAATGGTCAAATTAACAGTTAAATTTTTAAAACTGAAAATTTGTAGTTAAAAAAAAATGCCCAGAGATAAATGTATAATATTGATGCAGTATGGGTGATAAGAATTTTGACATTTTATTTGAACATGATCAATGCCAATGCCAATGCCATTCAATTAGGAACTCTACAAAAATTTATTTTATTTCCAAATTTTATTAGAAAAATAATTTATTTTATTTTTTGATTCAATTAGAATTTTTTGATTCAATTTCCTAGTTGGTTTAGGATTTTTGCTACTATATGCACCCAATGTAAATGTTTTTTGGAAAAATAATATTACAGAGAGACATTTATCTCTCTTTATTTCAATTCTTCTTATATTCTTGAGAATTAACAGATAAATTGAAGTTTTGAGAATTGATATTATTTATGAATCAACAAGCTTAGTGTAAAATTTTGAACCGATATTTGTGCACAAATCAACGGTTTGGCTTCATTCTATCTCCTAACCCCTTTCTTATCCCCCATACCCATGTTTTTACCCGCTTCCCTGCATCAAACATGCTTTACCAAATCCTGCTAAATCTTCCTTCTGGAGTCCCTTTATCTTTTAGGGTCATCACTTATTATCCTGCAGCCTGGTGGCAGTAAAATTGAGGTGTTCAGAAATATTTGTTCAGCCGGAAACTTAGGGTGTCCATCTTTTTTCTTTATTGATCTCTTCTCACAAAATACTCACACATTACTTATGAAACAGATTGTCATTGGACGAATTGAACTTCAAAATCTTCTGATGAGAGCTATATGTTTAAAACTTTTGGTAATTATTGTATCTAGAACCTTGTAGAATATGTTTGCACCTTGTATCCTTCTACCAACATCTGGAACCTTCACCTTCTCACCACTAAGTTAGAATTCTTGAACCTTTCAAACCTCTTCCTACCTTGAGCTTCTAGACCCTTCTCTAGTCATCTATAAATAAACCCCCCACCACCCCAAATCACCAACAACAATTACTATTGCAAGCTTGTCCCCACTTTTCCTTTTGTAAGCTTTTGATTGTAAGCTTGTAACTTATATTTCTCCATAATAATGAAGGCTTTTTTTCTTCCCTCATTTTTGGAGCTATATTCTAATTTCTTCGTTCTTCTTCAACTTCGGTTATGAGTCTTGGGCTAGTGGAAATTTATTTTTCACTATTCTAATAAAGCAATTTTCTAAATTTGAAATTTCTCTTTCTTCACACTATATCCTTTAGTGTCATCCTCTAGTATATCCAACTAACATGCGATTATGTTATGGGGAGAATAGACGTATTTGGTCGGAAGACTCAGGTATCTTATGATTGTCAGATATTTAGTCTTTTCTCTTTAGTAGTATTTGTTGATCTGTTCTTTGAAAATACTTGACCTGATGAATCAGATTCGCAATGGACGACTGGAAAATAGCTTTCGAAAGGGGACTGCAAGAGGAAATATTTGTACAAGCTGTCAAATCTTTTCCCAATAACGAACCTGATTTTAGTCATGAATTTGTTCAAATATCTCAAAATACTAGGTCTCCACAAGGGCCTCAAGCTTATCCAAATGGGGCAGACTTACACATAGGTCCATCTGAGCATCAACCAATGGTGGACTTTGATGTCACATGCAACGGAGGGAACATTGTTATTACTGGTCAAAGTGACATTCCTGTTATAGGTTCAGAAAAGAACATAAAAAAGATATCTCCATTACTTAGTCCAGAGTTTCTTCCACAACTTTTTGGAATGAAGCTCAATGATGTTGCAAAGTGCCTTGGTGGTAACGCTTGTAGGGAAGCTAGATTTTTCTCTTGAAGTAAAAATGGAAAATTAAATTCTCTTATGCTGATCCTTTATTTTGTAGTTAGCCGAACTATGTTGAAGCGCGTCTGTAGGAAGCATAAAATTTGGAAATGGCTATTTCACAAAGGAAAGATGGTTGGTAACGACCTTCCTAAGCTGAATCGTGGAAATGAATCTATACGAGTTATTGAGGGAGCACTCTGTTAACCTAGTCTCACTATTGATCCAATTAATCGTGATGTTGGTTCAATGTGCTGGCCTGCCGAATTGAGAGAATCCAACCTACAGAACTTATGTCTTAGTTTTCAACAGATAGAATCAATTCCATCAGCACCATATTGTGTCCCAAATACTCTAGTTTCCATGCAACCTAGAACTTCAGTTGGACAACTGCTCACCGAGCTTACACGATGCTTAGAATTTTTGAAGTGCCTCCACGTTTCAGAACAAGCAGAAGTAGTCCTAGAATCTAGTGAGGCAGTCCTGCCTCCTGAGCATGGAGAGTCTTCTATTGCTCATACTATGCCACATGTTGCAGCAATGCAAGATATGAAGACCTTTCAACATAAAGGCAACACATAGAGTTGGTATTATACAATTTCCACTTTCTACTTCGTCCCGAAAGGCAAAGCTAGAGGAGAACATCACAGAGAGGCTAAATTTGAATCTTGGAAACTTTAGGATCAGCTATATGGATACAGAGGGCAATTGGATTTTAATTACTTGTGATAAAGACTTGCAGTATTACATGATTGTTTCGAAAAGATTGGGCCACAATACAATCAAAATGTTTGTTGAGGACATTGCTAATACATAAACTTGAATCGAAGGGTTGTATTTGTATAGTGTTGAGCTTGTTTATTGCACTTTTCTCTATTGATCTGTCTCATTGTCTTCCTCGCTTTCTATTCTATGCATTGCAGAAGAGTTCCAGTTCAAATTGTATCTAGGAGTGGTGACTACCATCCAAGCCCTCGGTGCAAACGTTTATTTCCCAACATGGCCGGCCCTATAGTATAAAAATAGATAAAAGCATTGGCTTTAGGCTCGATATATGAAAAAGACTCCAAATTTAAAATTAATAATGTAATATAAACTTAAAAATAAAATTTACTGTAATATAGTATAACAAAATATTTTTTGAAAGATTAAAAAAATAAAAAATTTGGGTTCAAAAGTCTAGACCGTCTCACACAATCACATTTATTAAAAGACAAAAAAAGATTAACCAAAAAAAAAATGTTGACAAAATTCATCTCTTTTTTCAAATGAAAGAAGTATAATAAACATCTCTCTTTAGTCAAAAAAAAAAAAAAAAAAAACTAACCAAACATATTCACTACTTCTCTTAAACCTATTTTTTTTTATTTGACCGCAAAAACCATTAAACCATTCATTCCCATTAAAAAAATATTTTGATAAAGTTCTTATTTGTAACAAATAAAATATAACATAAAGTTAGGGAAAATTACATAGATAAATAAGTAAAAACCAAAGATTGTAAATTAATCCCAAAGAAAATAACAATGAATTTATTTATAATAAAATCAATCATCTAATACCATATTTTCAATAAAGAATATATAAAATAAATAAAAAGAACATAAAAATATTAATAAACCAATTAATTTTATTCCTTTAAATATTTATGATCAAAAATCATATTATCAATCAAAAAAAAATTAGCAAAATTTGAATAAAAAAATAATTAGCAATTTTGAATCTCATCAAAAAGTAAATAGATTTTAAATTGAAAAAAGGCCAACTTCCATTTTTTACAATAAGGTTAAAATTATCTTTTTACATAGAATCTGTCAACTAACATTCACTTTTTTGGTAGGTCTCACAAAACCCATTTATATGTAAATAAACAAGATGTTGTATTGTATAGATAGTATTTGTTAAATACTAGCACACCTTATCCGCAAAATAAACACACCTATAGTTGTATACATAAAAATGGCGACCTAACACACGAGGCCTTTGTCACCACAAGGCCTGAAAAGGACTACGCCTACAACTCAAACTCTTAATGTCAATGTCACAAATGGTGCACCTATATTGCTCAATATTCACCCCCAATATTGTTGTATACATACACAGGTATATAATGATATTGTTCATATGTTAAATTTCAAATCATTTATAGTAGACAATCATCAAGTATAATTTTATTAGAAATAACTCAATGCCAAAAATTAAATATTGATCGTGCAATATTTATATTTGAACATAGAAAATAAAATAGAGGCAGGAGAAAGAGAGAGGTATGCGAGGATTAATGAGGTTATTGAATATTTGGGAGCGTGTTTGTTGAGTTGTTTGACAATAGAGACTATATAGAAAAAATGTTGTTTTTTGAGAGGAAAATTTTTTTTGGATGAATTCTATACTATTTAAAGTAGATGAAAATTGAATCAATTTTAATGGTTATTATGTTTTTATAAGTTAATAATTTGACTTGCTAATTGTAATAGGAGTTGACTACTGTACCAAAAAAAAAATTCAGTAACATACTTCAATTTACCACATTGTGGTTTTTTTTACAATATTTGTGGGTGTTTTTACTATTGTTGTGGTAATCTAAAAAATGATAAAAATAGTTATCACAACAATTATAAAAATATTCATAAATATGGTAAAAATATCCACAAATATAATAAAAACAGTAAAAAATATGATAAATTTTTTTTAAATTGAAAAAAATAGTTATCACAAATGTAATAAAAACATAATAACCACATTGTAACATTATTTATCTCTTTACTTTTTGCAATTTCATCTTATATTATCTCATTTCCTCCCAAACCTCTCATTATCAATTTGGTTGTTGATTTTTGTTGGGTACATACAAAAATTAAATAAAGAGGACATTAAAGGTGAGCAGGGTGCTTGTATAGAAACGGTGAAATGAGATACACACACTTGTATAGTTATGGTGCATAATGACCTGGAAACCTCTTTGCACTCTTATGGTGCAAAACAATAATCAATTTCATAGTCCTCCTATCATGATGTCGAAATATTACTTTTTGGTATGATATATTTATTTATAATCCAATATAAAATGTAATACGTGCTATATTTTTCTTATTTATGTTATTTTTTAATTGATAATTATTAATTATTCATATTAAAACTGTCGACTATAGATCAATTTTAATGTGAAACCTCAATTGTATTGTAGTCTTATATCAGTCTACTTATTCCTATCAGCAACATGCACCACTTTGTTGCCACTCCACCCCTTTGTTGCCTCTCATCGATGTCTGGGTGCTTGATAATATTTCATTCCTTGAAAGCCCGTGAATACTAGAGTCAGTGAAACGGTAGCTACTAAAGCGTAAACTCCTCGTTACAATTTGTGAGCTTCTAATCCTTTTCACCCGAGACACTTTTAAGTCAATCATGAGTCAAATGAGACTTGTGATTTACAACGTAAGATTAGAGTTATTGCTACTTAGTAAGATTAGGCCTTACCAAAAACTCAAAGTTCAATAGACCATCTACAGTCCAGAAATCTAACGGGCTAACGGGACGCTTGGCCCAAACATATAGTAGGGCTTGGATAGCCCGTTAGCCCGTTAGCCCGACAAGTAAAGCCTAAGCCATGTTTTTAGGGCTAGGGGCTTAGCGGGTCGATTCATTAAGAAACCCGTTAGCCCAGAAGAACACACTCGTTGAAAATGTAAGTTAGATTATATTTCATAATTGTATTGTTTATTTGATATTTGATTTATAATTTTTATAAAGTTGAAACTTACAAATAATTGACAATTGCGTAAGTACCAATTTAATTGGAATGTACTTAATTTGTGGTGATGCAAAATAGTCACATCCATCAATCAATTTGTAATGTAACATTGTAACTCTATATGCATATTTATTAAATTCAATTAATATGAATAATTTTTTTTGGTTAATTTATTTTTTCATACCAACTTCATGTAATTGATATCTTTTTGTAATTTTTATATAAAAATAAAATTTTCCATTTCTTTTACACGAAAAAATGATTTTTTTAATAAAAAGTCCATTTCAACCCAATGGGCCGCCCAAAAGATCCGGCCCATATTTAGCCCGTTTTGACCCAATAGACCAACCCATGAGCCTTAAAATTCCTAATTGGTGGACCCAACCCATCCCATTGACTAGTCCAAGTCCAGAGGCCCATCCCACGGGTGAGCTATCGGCTAAAAAAATCCCGGGCCGGGCCGGCCCGTTGCCGAGGCCTAAGTAAGACTACGGTATTGATGTAGCGGTATTTACAAATCAGAAGTCAAAATGCAAACCGAGATGAAACAAAAGAATGAAGGTTTCATCTGCTTCATGCCCGCGAAAAGGATTATGGAACATCCATACCAAAATAATAACAGAATGTATAAATCATTAGAACGGGTTTCTTCCTATAATTGAAATTCATCACACAAATATAACTACTCACCCAACATTAATACAAAACTCCTTTTCTCGAGTTTTTTAACTAGATTCACAACTTGGAAGGGCAAAAGAGATTCTTTTCCCCCTCCACGAGGCCAACCCACCTACAAGAGTAAGGAATTCCAGCCATTTCTTTGCATGGAAGATACTCCAGTTTTATAATAAAAGCAAAAGAACAAGAAAACCCAAAAAAAAAAAAAAAAATAGGGTTCAAGGATAGGATCCTTTTTATAGCGCACACACTTATATATACCCCAAGAAGGTAAAACCCATTCAACATTTCTTGTTTCTAAGTTTTCCAAGGCCATGGCTTCTGGAGCAGGCAAATCAGCAGCATTTATCCTCCTAACTCTCAATCTCATGCTGTATTTCATCGTCACAATAATAGCTGCATGGGCTATAAACCATGGGATTGAAAGAGCGCGAGAAACAGGTAAATAATTACATTGTCCAATCCCGATTTATCGAATCAAGCAGTACATAAAAATCAGAATAATCGTGATGAAGTTATTTATTCGATTTTTTTTGTCTTTGATTCAGCTGAATGTTATCCACTTGGTTGTGCAGCATCAACTTTGTCGATCCCAGCTCGGATATTTCCCATATATTTTCCATTTGGTAACATGGCAACTGGTTTTTTCATCATCTTCTCACTCATAGCTGGTGTTGTGGGCTTCATCACCTCAGTTACTGGAATCACCAATATAATCCAGTCGAATCTCTCCAACTTACATGCAGCTGCTGCCTCTTCCCTCATTACTTGGTCACTCACACTACTTGCCATGGGGTATATAATTTTCTTAATTAAAGATTAATTCACAATACATAGTGCGTGTGTTGGAGAAGGTTGCGGGGGTTCAGGTTTGACACCACGGGGCTCATGCCGTTTTCCCTATTATTTCTCTGCAGATTGGCATGCAAGGAGATTGAGATAGGCTGGACAGATTCAAACTTGGTAAGCAACTGTTTATAATTTAAAGCTAATGAACTCGAGGAATGAAAATTAACCTTCCTCTCTCTCTCTCTCTCTCTCTTCCTAAGAAATCATTTACTTATTTGCTATACTTAGAGAAAAGGATCACTGGAGGAAGTCTCATAACCACGATGGGTCTAACGTTCTGGTGAAATCAAATCCTACCAAGACCCAAAAGAAACCCAAAAAGACCCTAGTCATAAAGCATGCAAAACTAACATCAGGCTACGAAAAAGTGAGGCGGGTTTTCTGGGGGTTTGGCTTTGGAGAATTCTTCATTCATGAAATCATGGTTGTTAATGACATAAGTCTCTTTTATTTTTCCTATGGCATTACAGAGGAGTCTAGAGACCTTGATGATAATTCTGAGCGGGACACAGTTATTTTGCATGGGAACTATCCATGTTGGCGTTGAAGATGTCATTTCGAGGCAAAGGATCAGAGGAGGAAGAGTTTGATGAGCGCCATTCATAATCTCCATCATCTGATGTATACCAATATAACAAGCAAATCTTATATCCATCACACCCAGAGAACTGCATTTGTGATTTTACTCCTGTTTTTGTGTGTGTGTGTGTTATACGTTTGAAGAGACTTGTAAAGGCAGGTTGAAATTAAAATGTATTGTGGAAACTATGATGTTCTAGTTTGTGAATTTACAATGGAGAGAGTAGGGTTTTCAATGTTGAAGCCACACAACCAGCACAGTGGTGAAGCCTCGCCACAGACAATGTGTTTTCTCCTAACTCTCTTTTGCTGTTATTTCTCCGGAGCATCCATGCAGATTCTCCCTTCATCTACTTTCCGGTGTTCCATCTACAAGTAGGGTGAAGGTAAGTTATTTCTTTGATACATCTCTTATGCCCTGCTGGTCGGGCAGGTGGATCAGGTGTTGGGTTAAGGTTTGGAGAGTTGAGGTCTTTTATGATTTGATTTGTCTAGAGTATTAACTACCACCCCTCCCCCCCTGGTGGGGCCCCGGGCTTTTTTTCCCAGGCATTCTCATTCACGAGAGACATCCTACATCCTTTCTGTCATAAAATCTCACAGAATTGAACACCCCACCCCCCGCGGGACCCCGCACTTTTTTTCCCTGGCATTCTCATTCACGAGAGACATCCTACATCTTTTCTGTCATAAAATCTCACAGAATTAGACAGAAAGTCCACTGACTCAAGTTGAAAAGTTAAGAGGGCTCAATCAAGACAATTTATATTAAGGGTTGAATTAAAATTTGGGGTATGATTTAGAGACCAAAGAAGTAATATACTCCAAAATAGTACTTATCAGAATACATAGAATGGAAGAGACCCAACAATCCCATTCCTCTTCAGCACTCTTCCCAACGCTACCTTGCAAACCCAATGCACCACCACCACCTACTCTACTAGAATGCCACCCTAGCAACCAGAATTGATCCTAGAGGAGGAGGAGGAGTGGAACCAATGGTGCGCTTAAGATGCCAAAAGGTACTTCAGTTCTACAGTATTCTGGATCTAGAAGGCAGTTCTCATTCTTTTTCATGGGCATAATTAGGCATGACAGTGGGTCAGCAAAGAATTTGCAGGAAAATAAAAATTTACCTAACATCCAAGTGCAGCTTAAAGATGTGAAACACAGCAAACCAAATCACAAATTCATAAAATGGTTCTGATTTGCATCATAGAAGTATTTTCTCTAGATACATGGCCGAAACCCACCAGAAAAAACTAGCCAAAAACTCCACTTCCGTCTTTCAAATTCATATCTACAGAGATGTCCGATCTCTGATCAAAAAACCAAAATGAAAAGTAGAGGGTGAAAAGGTTTCTTACCTCTATTCAAGATATTTCCTTTAGCTCTGCCAACAAAGATTTCGTCTACCCTCTTGCATAATCTCAAATGCAAGTTTGTATCTCTCAAGAGATGCTGCCCCTGCCTCAATATAGTTACGTGCTTCTTCCCTTAAACTCCACAGCATCAAAGGCCTAAAATCTTGACAGCCACCTCCTGAATCAACATCCCGTAGAATACCATACTTTGCATTTTTTGTCCAACGATGTAAGATGTAGCGAGATGGAAGTTCCCTGATGTTCATTATCTGGAACACCTTCAATGCATGTCTACACAGCACCCCTTCAAACTCAAACATTTTACAACTGCAACTAACGTTAAGATTTGATGCATTAAAGGCAACAGTATTCCTCTCATCACCATTGCCACACTTCTGCACCAAATATCTACTAATAGCACCTTCAACGTTTATTTTTATTCCAACATAACTATAGCAATCCAAAAGCTCTTTCTGAAACACTTTGAACATTGTGATTGTGTAAAGCCTTCTACATTGGTCTTCTATGGGATCTTTTGTGTGCAAAACTGGTTGTATGTTGAAAGAGTTAAAATCCTCTTTTCTTTCCTCCTCGAACCGCTGCTCAAGAGCTTTCTCATATCTCACAATAAATTCATTTAGGGTGGTTTGAGCAGTCAAAAGCGTACCAAAATATGATTTCATGCTTCCATCTATAGAAATCCCTGCAAAAAATGTGCCCCTTATATGCAACGGGACCCAACTTTTACGCATTCTGTACATTTCCTTCAACCAAGAGTTCTCCTTCAAGTTATATTTGTTGACAAGCACATTCCATGCAGAATCAAATTCATTAGCTGTCTGACTCTGAGAAATGCAAGTTTCATATTCATATTTGAACTCGGCATTCATGGACAGCAGCAGACCCAGATTTTCCTGCTCCTTTGCCATAATTTGAAATGCAGAAAACCGATGATGTGTCCCAGGAAAAACTTGTGCAATTGAATGTTGGATGGCCTTGTCTTGATCAGCTATTATTGACAGGGGACGATGTCCTGACATTGCTCTAAGCCATGCTTGAAACACCCAAGTGAAGGACTCCTCAGATTCATCTGCAATTAAAGCACACCCAAGAAGCACTGGCTGCTTGTGGTGGTTAACCCCAATGAATGAAGCCAATGGCACCAAGAAACTCCCTCTCCTGTATGCTGTATCAAAAACAATGGCATCACCAAACTGAGTGCAAGAAAATCTAGACCGGCTATCGGCCCAGAAAACACTCATGCATTTGCCATCATCCAATTCCACTGCATAAAAGAATCCTGTATCTTCTGCTTGCCGAGACTGAAAATACTCAAGAAGCACATTATACCAATTACTTCCAATGTTACTTTCCCGACCTCCTTTGTCAAGGCTGAGGCCGCCATTTGTTTCAACTAAATCCACATTTTCCAATCCACTGCTCACTTCCTCTCTAAACCCCTTGGGAGCAGCAGCCGATCTCCTACATGCATCCGTTGGAGAGTCAAGTTCATGATTATGTTCTTTTTGCAGACGATCAACAACCCATCTTCCGGATTCTTGTCTTTGTATCCTCATATATGCTCCACAACCAACTCTTGAAGGGTGCTGATGCCCTTCCTTTGAGCACACAAATCTTCGGGATGTAATTGACCCATCATGTTTTGACCGAAACAACTGACCAATTCGAACTTTGAACCCAGTACTAGCCGCATATGCATTGTAAAATCTGTATGCTTCAGTAGCAGAACTGAATTCAAGGCCTTTAAGTGGTTCACCTTTGGGTCCTCCATCCACTTCTTCTGTTTTGAGACGTTTAACATCAATGACTCCAGATGGACCATCCTCCTCAAGTGATCTAATTCCTTTCCTAGAGGACACGACAGCTGGTAGTCTTGGGGCAGGAAGGACTTTCCTCTGTATATGGGGTGGACGAACTTCACCCGGGAGTTCAAGCTCATGATTATGCTCCTTCTTGATATTGCCTAGAACCCACTTCCCAGACTCAGCTTTTTGCACCTTTATGAAAGCAGGACAACCTGTTCTTGAATTAGTCTGAAAACCCTCCTTGGAGCATACGAATCGTCTAGAAATAACTTCCCCATCAACTCTTGACCGGTACAGCTGACCAATTCTAATCCTAAACCCCGTCTGGGATGCATACAAGTTGTAAAACTCCTGTGCATCCTCTGCCGAATCAAACTCCAAGCCCACATAGGGTTCAAGTTTGGACTCCCCTTCATCCTCCCGATGGCCATTGTTTTTTAAAACTGCTAGACCTGCTGGTTTTGCTCTAACAGTCATGGTGTTCCCCAACTCTTCTCTATTCATATCAGTGTCTGAGCAATGAAATAAAACCAAAAATTAGAAAATACTTCTAAAACAGATAACCAAATTAATGATTTATAAGCTCGTTTATTCATAGCATTATCTGTACGATATATACCTTCTATCAGGGAGGAAAGAGAAATAAAATCAGCCATAATATACAAATATAAAATGAGATATCTAACGCATGAAGTTGGTTGTATGTGATGATTGTGCACACCTACGCGCGCATGCACACAAATGAGAAAAAGTTTTGAGTGAAATAGTGCAACATACAAACAAGTTCAGAAAGATCCTATAATTTTGCACTTTCAACTTAGCATGATTGAATCTTAAATGTTTTGTTTTTCTTTTCTTATTAAACCTGGTTCATAATTAATTATGCGCGAAAAATGGAAATAAATTTCTAAGATGATGTTCTGTCCTGATTTAAAAATATTTTTCGGCAGTTTCAGACTTCCTATAGCTGTCCATAATTTAGAAACATCCAGAAGTGTTGATTCTTTATGATTCGTGATATCAAAATTTTCCCAACTTAGATCATGCAACAGTAGCACACAATTCTGATTTTTAATGACCTATTCAAACATATTATAGACATGCACTGAATCTGTGCAAGTGATCAAATACAATCCTTAGATGCTAACTTTTCTCATCAATCAATGATGAACATTGGATTAACTAACCAATCATAAAACACAAAAGCAAACTTGCAAGAACAACAAATCAAAATAATACCTCGGTGCCCTCCCAATTATTCAAAATTAAAACTACTAGGATAGAACAAATCTGGAGACTTGATTTGAATTATTTTCAAAATTCAAAAATACATCTTTGAAGACTAACAGCAGAATCAACTAATTCCTTTCCACATAATTAGTTCAAGCTAAGCAACCAATCAAACTTTCCTATTAACCAGGAATTCTAACCCACCAGTTTTGCTAGCAACCAATCAAACTCTTCAACCAAGATTTGCACATGAGATATCTCACTAAAATCAAAGTTACAAGAATTCCCTAATCATAATTGATAAAGCTGTGTATTTACACTGAGACAGAGAGAGAGAGAGAGTTCAATCTAGGTCAAATAAACAATTGATCAAAATGCACGATTTTGAATAATAAAACATATGAATTAGACCAAAATGTAGGCTCAAAGGAAAAAAATTTCAATATCCACCAACTGATAATAATATTAAAACCAAACCACGATATAAGAACACATCTAATTAACAAAAACAACTCACCAAAAAATATTTGGAAAAACAAGAACAAAAACTTATATAAATCCACAAACAGAGATTCAATCAATCAAAAAACAAGAACTATGAGACAGTCGAAACCATAAAGAAACAAATTTGAAGCTTTAGGGTTTTACCTTCGCATATCGATAAGAAACTCAGTTAGGGTTTTGTGAACCCCCAAAAATTTCAGGTACTAGAGACAGAATGACGCTCCGTTATGCTACAATCGAATTGTTTCATCCAGTTCTGCAGCCATGAGTCGCATGCATTGTGGCCCCAAATCGACTCTCTCTCTCTCTGCCCAATTCCT